ATAAATTTTCTATCATTTAAATAAAAAAAAAAACTAAATTAAATTTAAAATGCTGGAGTTGGAGTTGACACATTTTTCCCAACTCCAACTCTGGCCAGAAATTCCTCCCAATTTCATGACTCTGATTCTACAGCCCTGGCCAACGGAACCCCTTTTTCTAAAATCTAACAGTTCTCTCTTTTCTCATCACACTGTTTGTGGACTTCTGCTTCTGAAACCACTTTATTTGGTCATATGAGAGAAAGTTTAACCCATTTGAAGCAGATGGTCCTCCAAAAGTGTGATATTTTTTATACTGCTACTGCAATATTATAAGTTTATGATTAAAAATAATTTGAAGCAATTAAATTATAAACAAAATTTGCTTAGGATAATCCTAATATTAGATACCAATGGTGATTAATAAATAAAAATAACTTAATCAAAGTGACACACAAACATACTCAACTTTATCTGATTAGTATGATTATTAAGAGATAAAAGACAATAAAAAAAATGAGAAACTTTGAAAGAAAACAATTGAATTTTATAGCACTCTCTCTGTATTTACAATTTTTTAAATACGGAACAAATGGATCAAAATATAATATTTTATTTAAGATGCAAGTTTTGTTCAAAAAAAAAAAAAGTTGGAAAAAATTGCCCTACATCTTATATGTGAAGTTGAAATCTCCATTAGGCTAATGAATTTCCCAAATGGCCTTTGGTAGGTTACAGGCAACCTGTACTTAGCCCAACTCTTGAATAAAAATGTTATCATTATTCTTTGCTTTAGATAAGCAGCATTTGCCTATATTCACATAGAATATTTTAATGGTAAATTTTAATTTTAATTTACTATTTTAACTCTTTTTTTTATCTGATAAAATTAGAATGCACAGTTTTATTTACTTTTTTTTTTTTAACTACAATACAGTAAAGATGTTGGGGCAGAGTGCCAAAGGAGCAGTATGGTTTAAATTAAATACATTAGATATTTTTTCCTAAACTAAATATTCTGTGCTGAAATCTTATATTCTATAAAATACAGTAAAAAAACAAACACAAGATTTAATTGTTAGCGTTAATATGGATATCAATAGGCAATTAATTATTTATCATGTGACTCTTAGGATGATGAGGTGTATATGAACTGTATGCTTATCCCATCAATATTAACTGCATTACATAAAGGACAATCTTGATATTAACTGAACAGAAAGCTAAATATTTTTAAAAATTGTCTTAAATTTCTGTTGTTGAATCAGTTCTACATTTAAAGCAAGAAAGAGATTAAAATACAGGTATCCCTTGCTTAATGCGTGAAATTAATTACGGTAATCCCTTTATATATGCAGCAGAAGTTTTAATTAATGCAGTCTTACTAGCTGTTTTTACTTAACATAGATATAATATTTGAAGACAATAAATTTTTTTAATATTTCAATATATTTAATGCTATAATTTTAAAAATAGATTTAGAATTATACTAATTTAACAAAATTGAAATTAACTTTCATACATATATAATATAGTCTATTTTGCAGCCAAAATTTGTCTTGCTGATTGTTTGACACGAACTGTTGATTGGGATAAGGCATTACCAGAATTTATTTTGCCTTTGTTTATTGATGGAGCCGTATTTTTCATAATACTAATTTTGATAGAAACAACTTTATCTAAATTATTAAATAAATGTACTGAAATATTTACTGTTATGAAGAAATTAAAACAAAAAAAAAGTAATAACATTTCTCTTGATATGGACATTGACATATTAAATGAGGAATCTCGAGTGAAAGCACTTTATTTGGAGCACAAAATTAATAATGAAGTCTTAATAGTAAAAGATTTAACAAAAACTTATTTCGGATCTGGTTGCGCTGTCAAAGAATTAACATTTTCTGTACATAAAAAGGAATGCTTTGGTTTGCTTGGAGTAAATGGAGCTGGAAAAACAACTGTATTTCGTATGCTGGTTGGTGATCTGATACCCAATTTTGGTGATTCATATAACAACAGAGGTGGTCTTCAAAACAACAAAAATAAGGTAATCTTATTTAATATAAATTATAATGAATTAAATTTCAGATAATTATTATTTGAATGTAATATAAGAAAAAATGAGAGAATTTTTACTTCACCTACACACAAATATGACCAGATATGTTAGTTTTTCACTTTAATAGCAAGGTTATGGCTGAAGTTTTCATCTCTAAAATGTAAATGTCAAACATTGAGTACCGCTTACGAGATAGTGACGTTCGACGCTCATATTTTAGAGATGAAAACTTTGGCCACAATCTCGCTAATAAACCATTTTTTGCTGCTGCACAAGGTTGTCTGTGGATAATTGAGTGATTTGCTGCAGAAGCAGTTACTTTATGAATTAGCAATAGAATTTTGTGCATGAAAATGAGAAGATTTAAAAAAATTAAGTAAATGTAATCTAATTCAAATTATTTTTCTTGAAACTAAAGTTTTCAGAAATCTTATTTGCTTTTTTGGTTACATGTCGATTACAATTGTGAGTTAGGATGGCCAGATTACAGCTTTTAAGAATTCTGTTCTTTGTCCAGTGGCATCTAAAACTGGACAGTAATTATTCTTCGATTTTGAAGTCTGTCAAAAACAATTGTGAAGTATTGAAAAATAAATAAAATTTTATTATTATTAAATTAATAAAAAGTTATGATCAAGTTTGACTTTTTCAAGAGATCAAACAATAAGAAACCTATTGGAGGGTAATGACGTTAGAGCAGTATGTCTGGTTTGATACGTATTCATACAAGAAACAGATTTATTAAAAGCTTGTCATTTATGCCAAATTGTTATTAAAAGGATGTTATAAAGTGATCATATATTAGAAAAATCTGGATAAGATAGTATGGTAATTTTCAAATAAGACTCATCACTTATGGTTGATGCATTTGCTCTTTTATGAATTTCAAGGCAATTTTTATAAAAAAAAAAAAAAGAACATTAAAAAATACAAGTATATACATTGCAGTATGGAAAGATAAAATTTAAAGTAGTGTACAATATTTTGGAAAATTTAGTTGCTTTTAACCAGTCCAGATAAGGGAGAGTCTACTTTATACACACACAGTATACATATAGTTTTTGTAAGTGCATTACCCACATATATTGAGAGGGCAAATCAGCACCATCTCGATATATATGGGTAGCAATGAAATTCAATCTGATTTACAACAAGCAAGTTTGATTAGAACTTCAAACACAGAACAACTCAAGTTACTGGAGACCCTTGAAATTTTTAAATCAGACATACAAAGGCTGTGTATCAGCTTTAAGGAGGAAAAACACTTATCCCAAGCATGTAAGACCTTATTTGATAAGTTGCTATAAAATCAGATTGTAACATCTACATTTGAGTGTATTCCATTGGTCAATCTTTGGTTTTAAATTCAAATTTATATAGCATTCTTCTACAAATTTCATTTTCAAACATTGAAGCTTGTAGCATTCATTTTTTTAAATTTTAAATGCTGGAATAATCTAAACATTAGTGTTTTTAGTAGTTATAACAGGAATACAGATACATGAAGTTCTGATACTAGAGTAAGGGTATGTAATAGAATGAAAAATTTATATAAATCTAAATTTTCTTTATTTTACAAGTTAAAACTTCCTACTAAATAACAATATTTATAACCAGCTCACAATTGCTATATAAAGTAACAAACACACACAAAAAACTTTAAAACACAGCAGAAATTTTAATAACTAAAATGTTTTTGATTGTTTTTAATGACCATCCTCAAGTTGAATTCATAACAGAATGCCAAACATAAATTAAAATGTCTATGTTCTAGAATACAAATCTAAGCAATTGAATTGTTACATATTCTACTCGAGGAAGGTTGTTAAGAACAATTAAAATCTTTTAGTTATTAAAACAATATTTATGTTATTTTAGAAATTTGATATATTTTTATATTTTTCCAGTACCTATCAGACATTGGTTATTGTCCACAATTTGATGCTCTCATTGATCACTTAACAGGAAGAGAAACATTGACATTGTTTGCTAATTTAAGAGGTGTTCCATCACAGGATATTGATTACATTGTCAATAAAATTTTAAAGTTTTGTGATCTTGTAAAATATGCTAACAGGACTACTGAAACTTACAGGTAAATTCTAGTGAAAACATTGTATTTTGAAGTATTTTTAATTACATAATAAGTATTTTTTATGTTTTTACATATAATTTATAAATTTCAAAAACATGATAAATATTCATTAATATGTCTATTTTCACACCACAGGAAAAACAATTCTAACTGGCAAAGTTGTTGTTTTTATTGTAGTTCTTCCCCATCTTAATATATTAAAAGAGGTACCAGCATAGAATCACTTATGGTTTTTGGCGGTTTCTCTGGCTTTTCATACTTACTAAGTAGCTGTAAAATTATTATAAAGTATGCAAAATAATAAAGAGTAGATAACCTAAAGTTCCTCTAGTGACAATTATAACTTTAAAATAATTCTTAATTAATTAAATCCCAAAAACAAATTTTAATCATTTTTTTAGTTAATCAAGAATGTTTTAAAGTTATGTAAGGTCCATCTGGCAATGATTGTATCTTTTAGCATATTGAGGCAGGGAAGAGCCTACAATAAAAATTTAACTTTGCAAGATAGAATTGTTGTTGCTATAGTGTGAAAATGTTTATATTTTACACCATAGCAACAACATAGCAAAAAAATACAAGAAGTATTCTTGTATTTTTTTGTGAATATGATTAAAATTTGTTATTCAGGTGTGTCCCTGATAGAATTTGAAATTAAGTCCTACAATGCTAATGAAGCATTTAAGGTAGGAGTTTAACTGCCCTGTTGGACAGTTAAACTCCTATCTTTTGAATGAAATAAAATAATATAGTTAAACAATAAAGCAAAATGATTTATTTAATTAAACAATGTCTCATGGAGATGATTATAAATTCTTGATGTTAAAAACGTAAATACAAAAGACATGAGTTATGAGAATGGGTTTCATAGTTTGATCTGATAAATACTATCCGATCAGCATAGGAAATGGCATTGGGTTGAATATTGATCTCTACCTCTTCTGTGGTCCATAAGATCTAGAATTGTAACCTGGAGACAAGGATGAACCAATCAGAAAGTGATGAGGGATATCATTGATCAATCAGAATACAGGATCAGTGAGAGAACCCTTTAAAAACTTCTGTCTCAGGGACACAATGTTCTTCCTTAAGATCCAAGTTCTGTTCTCGAGGATTTAAATCTTACTTATAAAAAGTTCTCATCCCATGATCTATCCTCTGTAGCTGATCAGTTTTCTCTCAGGAATTATGCTCTAGTCATGTCAAAATTTTAAGTTCTCTGTTCTGTGCTTTCCAAGTGACTGACTGTTGGATCAACACCTCAGCCAACCACAAGTTCTCACCTGATCTTAAATTCAACTGGACAAAGTGGGCCCTGATGCAGAATTGATAAAAATCAAAAATTAAATTGTCATTAAAATTTTATGCAAATTTAAATATAAATTTACACATGCAAAAACTAGTACTGTACATATACATTTACATCTATTTGCTAGACCAGTGATCTCCAAACTTTTTTGATCATGTACCCCTAAGATGAAAATAATTATAAGTTGTACCCCCTATAATATAATACAATATAATGTTGAGTCTAAATGAATCTCACTCATCTGCAATAAAAGTTTTCAAATAAATTAGAAAAATGTACATATAAAATCTATGTTTATGAAATAAATTACTCATATTTTTTGTGTCAAAAAAATTTGCTCAATTTCCACTATACACACAATTCCTGCTAAATTTCCTGCTACCTGCAATTTGAATCTTTCCCATGTATGATTGCAAGTGATCATGAGCTTACTTCTTCTGGAGGATGACTATAAGATTAGACAGACTGCAGACAGGACACACAAATAATATTTTGAAGGGAAACTTGGCATCTAGTATCAAAAACGTTCGATTCAGCACGACACAGTCCAACTGGAACACTTTCAGTTAACTGACATTTCGGTTGATCGGCTTTCAGATAAATGATGCTCTACTGTAACATTATTTTGAAGATAATCTGTAACAATCTTTGCTGTATGTTTGGGGTCATGGTCTTGCTGGAAAACAAAGCTATTGTCCAACCACAGTTTGAAAACTGACTCCTCCAAATTTTTTTCAGGATGTTAAAGTAGTCTTCTTTCTTCATTCTTCCATCAATAACTACTAATTTGCACTGAAACATCTCCAAACCATCACTGATTCACCACCATGTTTAACAGTTGGCTTTACATAGTTGTAGTTTAATTTTTCTGTGCCTCTTCATCATATTGTATTCTTTTGCCCATTTGTTCTTCTGACATCTTTTCCTGTTCTTTGTTCTTTCCACCTTTGAGAACTTTCTTACTTTCTTAATTCTTCTTTCTTGGAAGTGAGGGACACTTCCTAGAATTTATCAACAATGAATACAAGGTTACNTATTAAATCAATTTTTTTAATTATGTACATGTATTAATCATATTGTATTTTCATCCTTGCGGCTATTTGGCACAACCGCACTTTTCACAATATGCATTAAAACTGCAATATTAATGTTTATTAAATGCATTTACTTTACTTTTCTTTATACTTATTAGATTTGTAACAAACCATATAATATTAAATTCTTAAATAAGAATAATAAGAATTACATTTGAATCAATAGATGTTTAGAAAAAACTTGTTGACTTAGGCAAGGCCCTTTTGTCCTACGCCTTAACACACTAACTGAAACAGACATCATTATAGTATTAATTAAAGCATATATTATAGGTTTGATAATAAAACCTATAATGCAAAAGTATTCTATATTCTGAATTCCCAATGCAAAACAGTTAAAAAAAAATGCATCTCATGTAATTCCATAAGTAAATAAATTTTTAAGTGGAATATTAAAAATAAATTAGATTCATTTATAAAAAATTTGACAAAATTATTGTGGCATCGTCATAATGCAATTCTTAATCTTGAGTTTAGTAATCTTGCCCCTGTATATCATGCTTTTCCTTATAACAGTTGAGTTGTGGTATCTATCTAACTCCATTCTGGTGAAAATTTTTAAATTGAAATAACATGACTTCTGGTCTAAAGTGGAAGTTTGTATCTAGTTAATTAGGGCCTTCTGAACTTAAGCTTTCCATATCTGGTCTCAACTTTCATATATCTAATCCTATTCTTGAGATTAAGGAAGGACAGACAAACAGACAGACACCAGTGGGAATTTATAGATCTGCAATTTGAAAATTTCAGCTCACTAAGTTTTGTTTTATTGCATTTTAGCTTTTTGAATTGTTAAATTTTATAATTAAATATAACCATTGATGTAATATATGCAGTGGTAAATGTAAATATTAACATTTATTCATTATTTTTCCTTTGTTGTGTTGCTCCTGAGAGTAAACTTTTAAAAAATAGTATTCTTTACATCAGATCCTTGTGAATAACAGGTATAATAGTAAAACTACTATATACACAATTTTCACAGTCTTTACCTTAAACTAATTTACCTGATTTTTAAAACTTCTTTGTTCTTTCATTTTGCTTCTATTAACATAAAGGATCTTTAGTAATTCTTTGCATACACAATTATTATTTAATTTTATTAAAGTGACTAATAGAATGTTAAAATTTATTTTTCAGTGGTGGAACACGACGTAAATTATCCATTGCAATAGCTTTAATTGGTCTACCAGAAATACTTATTCTTGACCAACCGACAACTGGAATCGATCCAAAATCTCGTCGTAAGATATGGAAAATATTAATAACAATTAAGAATTTACTGGGGAAATCATTGTTGATCACATCTCATAAGTAAAATAATTTTTTATTAAAATTAATTTTAGTATTAGCAGATAAATGCTTTTGTTATCTAGAATGATGTTTCCATTTACTAATTTTTGACATATTTCTAATAGTTCATAACACCTATACAAATTTTTCAAAAGTTGTTCATTAAAAAAATATATTTATGAGAATTTTTTCATAGGTTGTATGATAAACTTTTGTTTTTTACTTGATTTAAATTTTAACTAAACTATTTGAATTCTTATTCATAAGAGAATAAGAGTGTAAATAATTTAAATATTTTTATGTTATAAAATAGAATCTATGAGGGTTTCCCAAAAGTAATGCACAGTTGGCTCTAACTCGAAAAATATTTATTGAAGAAGATACAAGTGATTACAGGCCTTCAAAATAATCCCCTCCCTTATCAATGCATGCTTGCCAGCAGCGTGGAAGTGCTTGGATTCTGTTCAACATCCCCTTATTTTTGAGCATCTGAATCTGTCGGGTCACTTCTCTTCAGAGCTCTTTCAGCATCGGAAAACATACCCCGAAGGAGTTCCTTCAGCTTGGGGAAGAGATTGAAGTCAGGTGGGCTTAAATCAAGATTATAAGCCGGGTGGCGAAGCTTTTCCCAGCCGTATTTTTTGAGAAGTTTGATGATTGGTGTCACTGATGTTGTCTAGCACCTGTGTTAAAATACGATGCGTGCTCTTTTCGAGATTCCTGTCTCCACCTCAATTTCTCTTACCGTAATTCTCTGGTCTTCGTTAAGCAATGTTGCAATGATTGAAGTGTTTGTGTTGTCAGCTGTTACAGTAAACGGCCACCCCACATGCAGATCATCTTTGATGCTTGTTCGACCTTCTCGAAACTTCATGTGCCACCTCTGTACTGTGCTACGATTCACAGTAAACCTTCACATGCTTCTTTTAATGCGGCATGAATTTTGGGCACTTTTTTACCGTGCACTGTTTTGATACAAATATACGCTCGTTGCTCTATTGCTGAAATCCAATCTGACGGACTGTTCTCATTGTCTTTTCAAATTTTTGGCATTTTCCCTTTAAATGAATCCCACTACCATATGATAGCAATGTGTTTGTAAGACTTCAATCTATACACTGATGCTTCAATCAGCTGTCTACATTGCCTACAACACCCACTAAAGCACACTGTGCATTACTTTTGGGACAATCCTCGCAATATTATATTTAATATGGTAATACAAATAACTAAAAATGAAATAGTAATGAGCATTTATTTTACTATGACATCGTCACAATGCTGGGCTGCAATTTTTAATCATATTTTTTAATTTAATTTAAATATATGCTCTTTACCTTCAAATTAGCAGTGTCTTGCCCCTGTACATCATACTTTTCCTTTAGCAATCAAGTCATGCCGGTTATCTATCTAGCTCCTTTCAGAGGAAATTTTTGAACTGAAATAGCATGACTTCTGGTTTGCATCAGAAATTCACATATAGTTAATCAGAGCCTCCTGCCTGTAAGGTTTTCATATCTTTCATCTATCTAACTCCATTGTCAAGATTAAGGAAAGACTGATGGATGGACAACAGTGGGAATTTATAGGTCTACAATTTTTTCAAATTGCAGCCCAATGATTTGACAATTAAATTAAATTCCAAATTATGTGAATTTAATGAATGCATTCTTGGAACTTAATTGATAAGCATAAATTTTAATAAAAAATTGATAAATTTTTGTTGTTTTTGCTCTTTATATAGCATTAAATATACTAAATCATCTCAGTATTTTAATAATATAAATTTTCTATATAAAATAAACTTTTGAATGGCAAACATTGATCTATAAATAAGTTAAATAATTTTAAATTTAATTGATATTTTACAGCATGAATGAATGCGAAGTCCTATGTGACAGAGTAGCAATTATGACTAAAGGAAAATTTCATTGTTTGGGTACAATACAAGATCTTAGAAATAAATTTGGTCAAGGCTATACGCTTGTTGTCAAAATGAAACAGACTGATGAAGAAAACCAGATTACTGAATTAAAGAAGTTTATTGAAACTGCTTTTCCTACTATTGTATTGAAAGATGCACATCAGGTTATTAAATTAATTTTTTAAATTGAATTATTAAAATTTTTATTGTAGAGTATGTTTAAGATAACCTAAATAAATTTCTTTGAGGATAGAAATGCTTCAAAACTTTAAAAATGCACATATCTATAAGCCTTTTACTGGTGCGTATCTCATCACACTATACAATACAGAAGCAGGAAGATACGCTACGATTTTTGATTTATTACGAAACGGAAAAGATACCCCAGACAGAAATAAACTTCCCGGCATCTACACCATTCCTATCATTGATCACAGATGTAATAGAAACATGGTCTACATAGGATTAACCAAACGCCCCCTTGAAACCCGAATCAAAGAGCATAAAGCGGATATTAACCATGAAAGAACCAACACAGCTCTGGCCGTATACTCTTCGGACCCAGACATAGAACCCATATTCTCTCAAGCAAAGGTCGTACACACCACCTACCGCATGAACTATCTCAGACGGCTGGAGGCAATCTATATATGCTTAAACACTATTAAAGAGAATAATTGCATTAACTACAAGGAGGAAATCACTCTGTCGACGGTCTGGCAGACCCTACTAGATAAAACTCTAGGATAGAACACAGCATGTATAGCGCGCAAGTCCATAATGACGTCAGCGAGTTGGGACAACGTTCCGGATTGTATTTCATAGCAACTTTGAATCAGAGCGCATTCCATTAGGGAGGTCGTTACCTGAAGAAGAACCGTAACAGTTCAAAAACGTTTGTAACTGTATTGTATAGTATGATGAGATGCGCACTGGTAAAAGGCTTATAGATATGTGCATTTTTACAGTACTCCGGTGTAGATATTCTATCATTTGCTTCAAAACTTTTTTAGTTATTAAATTTTTAAGTTTTGAATTAAGTTTTATATTACTTTTTCAGCTTTTATATATATAACAGAGGGAACGTATCATAAATGCTCAAAAAATGACCCCCCCTGAAATTTTTACATTTTGGACTCGGGACCTTTGAAATTTTGAGAAATGCAAAACAATTTGGGGATTTTTTTGGTATGTATGGATGCTTGGGTGTTTGTGGCACAATTTTGTTCACCCTCTTTGAAGCTTAATAACTCCTGTACTTTTTATCAAAAACTTCTGAAATTTTGTAGGGAGGTTTGTGTATTAGGAGAATTGATGCTATTAAATTTTGATGATTAAAGGTCAAGGGGTGGGAGATAAAGGGGGTTGTGTGTCATATCTCAAGTGGGTTCGAAATTAATAACCATTTTAATGAATATTACCTTTTATAATTTTTTATAAAACCCATCCCTACCCTCAAAATGAAGTTTTTTGCCATTTTATAATTAATAACTAAAAATATAAAAAGTTTTTTAATAAAATATCATAACAGTTGGCACCATACGTGTAGTTTTAAATGTTGTCAAGAAAGTTAAGCAGCTTGTTGCTTTTTTTTTATTGGATTTTTAATAAAAATTAATTTATATAACAGGAAGAAAGAAGGTTAGATTATCTTGACATTTAATATGAAGAAAAATTTCAAAAGTAGATGTAAGAACAAGATTTAGAATAGAATATATTATTTTATGATGAAAAAGGTCAATTATATTTTGAATATAACATAGTACAGTACATTACATAAATGTGAACTGTATGTTACAGGTACAGTACATATTTAATTATATAATTGAAGAATGTAGCATTAAAATTAAATATTAAGGACTATTAATTTTGTAATCAATTGCTTGAATTGACCAATGTGTACCGGTACTTGATTTGAGTAGTAGTATCTCATAGTTACCAACATCTTTTGGGCTAAGATTCTCCCTTTGGAAGCAGTTATCATCATGTGAAAATCACCACATTTTCTAGGCTATAGGCTATAAGAAATAATTAATTTTTG